ATGCGCCTGATTACCGCGGTTGTTAGTTCTAATAGAATTGTTAATATACTTTGATGAAGATATAGTGTGCAAAGATTGAAAGAAACATTTCCTGGTATCCACTAAGATCAAAATTATCCTTGTGTGAAGTATAAATACAAGTACTTGAGTACAAAGTGCATTGCGCGTAAGTGCTTATAAGACAAGTAAACAGTGTGTATATATATATAGAGTGTGGGTGTGTGTTGATAGATAGATAGATATATGGATAGATATATGTATATGTATATGTATATGTGTTTTTACCTCTGCACCTATGCATGTTCAAATAAATAAATATACAAAGTGCATAGCGCTTATAAGTGTTCACAAGACATTTCAATTGTCCCTTTCTTCTGTCGCGATGACGTCACTGTGCCAAAGTTGCCAAAATGCTCCAGGCACAAAGAAAGAGAGAAATATACAAGTCGTGTGTAGGTTTGAATATACTTTTTACTGCCGTGATTCGTGACATGGAATACTATCATTTACGGACACGCATTATGTTTGATCATTATTATTCGAATAAAAAGTGTTACACTTGTCTATATTAAAAACTGAAAAATCAAAGAGGACCTTCTTCACTTTTCCTTATTGTATTAGAGATACAAACACTTTATTAAAGATTACTGTGTAGGAATAATTGTTCTAATGAAGGTAACAGTGGCTTATTAACGGTTATATTTTCAGGGGTAAATGCATACTAAGGTTGGAAATTCCCATAAACTAAAATCATCAGTATTTTCTCATTCTCATTCGTTGTCTAAAGGAAGAAAATTTCTACCTGCACTGACTGATATTTCGAACAATGCCGTTTTGAACTTGAACAAACTCGCGACCCTGATATTGCCTTGAACATTATAGTAAAAGAGAAAGAACTGTCTCTCAAACTACATGAAAATTTCTACCATGCTACCATTTTCACTAAACTGTACTCTTCTATAAAAGGAATTATTAAAGTATTTAATATTTCCTTGACTTTCTTTTTGTGAAGATAACAAAATCAACTTATATATTATGCTGCATATTAATACAATATAGTGCTCATAGCTTGCCATCCACTCCCTACTTCCATTTACTCAATTTTCCCTTTTTTTTAAGTTCGTAGATAAGATTTTGTATTGTGCTAAAGTATACATTTTTCACATTTCCAAGAAATAAAAAGAAGATGGCGTTTATAAAAGGTGCCTTGCGTAAAAAAAAAAAAAAATATGTGAAACTGTTTTCTCTTTTACGTATTACGTTGTTCGTGTTCATTATTTTCCCTTTTATGCATCATTCGTTATGTCATCGTCACGATAATATTAATACGTTCAACATGGTAAGTATTTACTTGTATTCCGTAATATCATCTGCTTCAGTTTTCCCTTTACACATAGAACATAATATTGTTGATTTCGCTTTTTCAAGAATCCTATTTTTGTTACTGACTCTAGACATCCTTTAGTTTTTTTAAAGAGGCCATTTTTAAGTCTTGACGCTATTTTTTCAGATCCCCAGTGGCATCTGTCTCTGGACGTCTAACTCTATGTTCCTTTTAAAAATTATATGCGTTTGGCTAAAGGTGACAGAACTATAAACTCGTTACTCAACTGTCTCCTCTTTTATCTTTGTCCATTCACCTTCCGTATTCCTGTTCCTTGGTGAAGGTGTCCATTTCGGTCAGACCTTATAAACTGCCCTGAGTTACCACTGTAAGAAAATGTGTTAATGTCGTGAGCTCCTCATGTTCAAAGACACTTACGAACCAATCACCGTTGGCTAAGGCTTGGGACGGTCCGACGATGATTGGCCGGTCCGATTCTCCGTTTAGGGGGTCCGGAGTGTCTCTGAATATGAGCGTAAGTTCTATATCCGGCGGTCACATTCAGACCTCACTTTCTTACGATCCACTTAGATTCTTCATCTGAAATGCGAGATTCTCCTGCCAATGATGAAAAGTCAATGATTCTCACCTCTACTACGAATCACTGTCGATCTTTACAAACACAGTCACACACTAGTTGAATAGAATTCGAAAAGTCCAGGAGATTATGGCTGGAGAATACGGTATATATATGTGTGTATATATATATTGTGTGTGTGTGTGTGTGTGTGTGTGTGTGTGTGTGTGTGTGTGTGTGTGTGTGTGTGTGTGTGTGTGTGTGTGTGTGTGTGTGTGTGTGTATAATGTGTGTGTTTGTTCTCCCAAACAGACCCTGCAAACACTGTATACGGAACTCACGTTAGCTAAAACAATGAAATAAGCCATTCCAATATTTAACGAAGTATTCCCGATTAGATTATGGTTATGAGCGATTCCCGTTTTCTAGGGATCAGCTGTTTTTGACAATGTTGGATATGGGCATTGGGTATTGACAACGGGGCGGTAACGACGAAAGAAACCCTCTGCAGGTGGGGATATGCTAAAAAGGCACTTCTATGGCTATATATGGTAAGTGTACTGATTTGTAGAAAATATGTGTATTTCAAATTAGAAATATGGTGTAAATTCAAATGCTCACGAGAGTTTGTTTGTCGAGACGGCTGTTCCGACAAAGTGAAGCAGTCACAATATTTAGTGATTAATCTTATTTACTCTATAATGTTACCGAGAGCGACGCGCGGAGATAGAGGGTAATGGACACTTCCATCTTGTAGATCATAAAAAAAGAGTAGGAAGCAGTCCCAAAACAAAATCTAAACCTTTTCTACCTTTTATTCATTACCTAGACGGGGGCTAGCCTCTTGTACCCCCCTCCCCCTTCATTAGCACTTGGAGGGGAAAACGAGATATTTGGCCTCAATCAAAAGGGAACACTTTTCATTATCTCCATAAATAGATAGAACTTGTTACTATCTATCCCTAAACCGATGTGAACATTAAAACTATCTAATCGCAATTCATCATGTAAAACTTGCATGCTAGAACCAGCTAAATGTTAATTGTTAATCACTGTACGATTCATATTCATTACACAATGCTGGCGTAAATAAAGATTACAGTGGCAGTCAGTAATTAAGAGGGTTGTTGTTTCGTGCCATCGAGATGCTGTATTTATTTCATGACGAAAATTATATAAACTGTAATGAAATACAGTGAAACAAACTCGACAACGGTTCGAACAAAGGTCTGACGCCATATTGTTTACATGAAGCAGTTCCAGCATTAATTCAGATAAAAATTCCAGCTAATTAGTGTTGAAATCCAACTCTCTTTCTCTACTCTCTTCTCTCTCTTTCTCTCCTCTCCTCTCCTCTTTCTTTCTCTCCTACCTCTCTCTTTCTCTCCTACCTCTCCTCTCTCTTTCTTTCCTCCCTCTCCTCTCTCTTTCTCTCCTCTCTTTCTCTCTTTCTCTCTTTCTCTCTTTCTCTCTCTCTCTCTCTCTCTCTCTCTCTCTCTCTCTCTCTCTCTCTCTCTCTCTCTCTCTCTCTCTTCTCTCTCTCTCTCTCTCTCTCTCTCTCTCTCTCTCTCTCTCTCTCTCTCTCTCTCTCTCTCTCTCTCTCTCTCTCTCTCTCTCTTTCTCTCATTCTTTCTGTCTGTCGCTTGCTCTTTCTCTTTCTGTCCCTCTATTTTCTTTCGGTCTATCTCTCCTTCTTTTGACCTTTCCCTATTTTTTCTCTTTCTGTCTGTCTCTTTCTCCTTCTCTCTCTCCCTCTCTCCCCCCTATCTCTTCCTCTCCCCCCTCCCCCTTCTCTCTCTTCCTCCCTCACTCACTCGCTCACTCACTCTTCATCTCTCTCTCTCTCTAACACCTGAGAAATGTCACACAAACACACGCAAGAAAATAAACACATTTCTACGATAAATATATCAGAAAACAATAACTGACTTATTATTATTATTCCCGGATAAAAAGTCTTACAAGTATTTAACAAAAAAGACATAACGTAAACGCAAAAGAGTCACCAGCTGATACGCATCCAGTCCGCTGTGACGTCACGACCGGATTCGCCTGGATACCCTCAGCTGCGACTTAAAAGAACGTAAACAAATGCTCCGGGTTATGGCTGATTCCGAGGTCGCCAAGGCACTTCTTAGTGTCATTGAGCGTGTAAATGTCGCTACCAAGGCGAGAAATCCTGTAAGTTAGTCCGTGTGGTTCTGTTGATTGGTGTTTTGTATATATATGTTGTTTTTTTGGGCGAGATGAGGAGGGAAATCGGAATGTAGTGGCCGTGGCAAGGATCTGAGATTGGGTTGTTGGTGTTATCTAATCACGACCGTCAGAATTTTCTCTCTTGTAATTCTTTTTCTGAGGGTTGACAGTGCTTGGATCCAGTGAAAAATGGATGGGAAGGACGGAAACTGGACGGATAGAGGAAGAGCGAATTGAAACAGTTTGTATATAAGGAATTATTACATATGTTGGGATTTGTTTTTCGTTTTTATCTGTGTGTATGTTAAGTCATTGTTGGGCTTTTAATTCTGTGGATATTTTCAGAAAATGATATTTAGTCCCTTTCTCTCTCTCTCTCTCTCTCTCTCTCTCTCTCTCTCTCTCTCTCTCTCTCTCTCTCTCTCTCTCTCTCTCTCTCTCTCTCTCTCTCTCTCTCTCTCTCTCTTCTCTCTCTTCTCTCTCCTCTCTCTCTCTCTCTCTCTCTCTCTCCCTTCTCTCTCTTCTCTCTCTCCCCTTCTCTCTCTTCTCTCTCTCCCCTTCTCTCTCTTCTCTCTCTCCCCTTCTCTCTCTCCTCTCTCTCCCCTTCTCTCTCTCCTCTCTCTCCCCTTCTCTCTCTCCTCTCTCTCCCCTTCTCTCTCTCCTCTCTCTCCCCTTCTCTCTCTCCTCTCTCTCCCCTTCTCTCTCTCCTCTCTCCCCCTTCTCTCTGTCCTCTCTCCCCCTTCTCTCTCTCCTCACTCCCCTTCTCTCTCTCCTCTCTCCCCTTCTCTCTCTCCTCTCTCCCCTTCTCTCTCTCCTCTCTCCTCTCTCCCCTTCTCTCTCTCCTCTCTCCCCTTCTCTCTCTCCTCTCTCTCCCCTTCTCTCTCTCCTCTCTCTCCCCTTCTCTCTCTCTCTCTCTCTCTCTCTCCCCTTCTCTCTCTCTCTCTCTCTCCCCTTCTCTCTCTCTCTCTCCTCTCCCTCACAGTTGGTATATAAGGAATTATTACATAAGTATGGATTTGTTTTTGTTATTATCTATGTGTATGTTAAGTGATTGTTAGGTTTTTAATACTTTGGATATTTTCAGAAAATAATATTTAATCCCTTCTCTCTCTCTCTCTCTCTCTCTCTCTCTCTCTCTCTCTCTCTCTCTCTCTCTCTCTCTCTCTCTCTCTCTCTCTCTCTCTCTCTCTCTCTCTCTCTCTCCTTCTCTCTCTTCTCTCTCCCCTTTCTCTCTCTTCTCTCTCCCCTTCTCTCTCTTCTCTCTCCCCTTCTCTCTCTTCTCTCTCCCTTTCTCTCTCTTCTCTCTCCCTTTCTCTCTCTTCTCTCTCCCTTTCTCTCTCTTCTCTCTCCCTTTCTCTCTCTTCTCTCTCCCTTTCTCTTTCTTCTCTCTCCCTTTCACTCTCCTCTCTCCCTTTCTCTCTCTCCTCTCTCCCCTCTCTCCCCACTCCCCCCTCCTCTCTCTTCCCTCTCCCCCATCCTCTCTCTCCCCTCTCCTCTCTCTCTTCTCTCCTCTCTCTCCTCTCCTCTCCTCTCCTCTCCTCTCTCTCTCTCTCTCTCTCTCTCTCTATCTCTCTCTCTATCTCTCTCTCTCTCTCCCTCCTTATCTCTACCCTCCTTTATCTCTACCTCCTTTATCTCTCTCCTCTCTCTCCTCTCTCTCCTCTCTCTCTCCCTCCCTCTCCCTCTCCCTCTCCCTCTCCTTTCTCTCTCTCTTTTCTCTCTCTCTTTTCTCCCCTTTCTCTCTCTCAATCTCTCACTCTCTCTTTCTCTTTCTCTTTCTCTTTCTCTCTCTCCCCTCCTCTCTCTCTTTCTCTCCCTCTCTCTCTCTCTCTCTCTCTCTCTCTCTCTCTCCTCTCTCTCTCTCTCTCTCTCTCTCTCTCTCTCTCTCTCTCTCTCTCTCTCTCTCTCTTTCTCTTCTCCTCTCTCTCCCCTCTCTCTCCCTCTCCCTCTCTCCCTCTCCTTTCTCTCCTTTCTCTCTCAATCTCTCTCTCTCTCTTTTTCTCTCCCCTTCTCTTTCTCTCTCTCCCCTTCTCTTTCTCTCTCTCCCCTTCTCTCTCTTCTCTCTCCCCTTCTCTCTCTTCTCTCTCCCCTTCTCTCTTCTCTCTCCCCTTCTCTCTCTTCTCTCTCCCCTTCTCTCTCTTCTCTCTCCCCTTCTCTCTCCCCTTCTCTCTCTTCTCTCTCCCCTTCTCTCTCTTCTCTTTCCCCTTCTCTCTCTTCTCTTTCCCCTTCTCTCTCTTCTCTCTCCCCTTCTCTCTCTTCTCTCTCCCCTTCTCTCTCTTCTCTCTCCCCTTCTCTCTCTTCTCTCTCCCCTTCTCTCTCTTCTCTCTCCCCTTCTCTCTCTCTCTCTCACTCTCTCTCTCTCTCTCTCTCTCTCTCTCTCTCTCTCTCTCTCTCTCTCTCTCTCTCTCTCTCTCTCTCTCTCACTTGCTCTCTCTCTCTCTCTCTCTCTCTCTCTCTCTCTCTCTCTCTCCTTCTCTCTCTCTCTCTCTCCTCTCTCTCTCTCTCTCTCTCTCTCTCTCTCTCTCCCTCTCCCTCTCCCTCTCCCTCTCCCTCTCCCTCTCCCTCCCTCAATTAAGTTAGTTTCATCAAGAGAAAAAGGGATGTAGATAAACAATGGATCTTCTAGAATTAACTTAATGTAGTAAATGTTTGTTGGCCTTTACCAGGGCACCCAAGATGCATGGGCCAGTGGCAGACATAAATATCTTGCTAACATCCACCCTGTATGTGGATAATTCCAGTCGTCTAATATTGTTGTGTGAAATGTAATATTTCTCAAGGCTTTGGATGTTGGCATAAAGTTGAAAAAAATGAAAAGTTGATATCAGACCATCAAATTTGATTAAGAATATTGCATTTATTATATATCTTACAGAAAAGTTTGAGTGAGTAACATTGTTGCAATATATTTTGGTAGGCACTCAATATTCTCCCCTTTTAGTGCTTATTTGAAGTGTTTTATGTGTGCTTTTTGCTATTTACCAATTTTTGATAACATAGATATCTAGAAGAATTAATTGATAAGGTTTGTTTCTACATGTAATGTTAGTTTTATTCATCTCTAATTTTTTTTGAAGTGATAGCTTTTTCAAACATGCTTTAACATCATGTATTTCTTAGATATCATTGTGAAATATTTTTTTGTATATGATACTTCTTTCATAACCTTGTACTTAAATCTTTGATCACATGATTATATTCCTTTTTGTCTTGGCAGGAAATCGCAGCCTTGTGTAAACAGCCAAGGCTAGTGGCAGTCAGCAAGACTAAACCAAAGGAGATGATTATAGAGGCCTATTCAGCCGGACAAAGACACTTCGGAGAGAATTACGTCCAAGAGTTGGTCGAGAAAGGACATGACGAAGAAGTAGGAAGCATTTCTGATTTTTATATACTGCTTCAC